TCAAGGTCGAAGTCAAACTTCTAGTTTGAAGGTACTCGTTATCTAGAAAAGAGTTTGAAGATACACATTCATATCACCATTCTCACCAGTATATATTATCATATCCCCATTTTCACCAGTGTGTATTATCATATCACCATTCTCACCAGTATGTAGTGTTATATCACCATTTTCACCAGTGTGTATTGTCATATCACCATAAATAGACTGCTCTATTTTCAAACTAGGCAAAACCATGGGGAAAATTTCAAAAATATATAGGATTGAATGGCGGACAGTGCGGACCATGATCATGGACTGCACTGAAGTTGCATAGGTAGAATTGACCAGTTTCCAGAACTAAGGTTACAGCTTATTAAAAGGAAAATGTTAAGAATATGTTATACAACTATTACATAATGCTAAAAATAAAATTTTGATTAATTTACATCAACAAAATGAGGTGCAACGATAACTTAAAAACCTTGATCTGCGATGTAATAGTTATGATGAAAGCTAAATTAATGTCTAAGAACTGACATAAGCTAAATTATTTGTACATACTCGATGCTATATTGGGAGAATTTATTGTGCAAAAAACCCTCGCTGTCTGTTTTATTATTGTTCTACAAAAGAATCCATGAATCTTCACAGGAATGTCAGCCTCGCTGCATTAGTGTTGATATTCCTACCATTTTCTTCCCCATATTGTTACAAAATAATCTGTATATACAGTATGTTTTAAAAATTTCTCGATATTTTTATGCCTGAGGAAGACTCATTACATGTTATATTGCAAAGAAATAATGTAAACAATAATGGAAACAATCATACTGTATATTAATTGCCGTAATTTTTTATACACTCGGTGACATTTATGTGAACAATGGTTAGAATACAGGCATTTTCCCGAATTTACAAAATTGTGTAATTAATTCCCAATTTAATCTTGTAAATTCCCAACTTTTTTCCAGCTGTCTTGATTTCTGAGATTATAATGACTTAAAAGATCCTTTTATATAAGTTTTTGATAAAAGCTAAAAAATTGTTATTTTTTCCCCCAATTTTTCAAATGCTATTATGCTAATAGTTTATTTTTTCCCAATTTATCAAATGCTAGAATATGCTATTGTTCCCCCCCCCCCCCCCCAATTTGTAAGACTGTTTAAACAGCTGGGTTTTGCAAGTTTAAATGAAAAATTTTTCAAAAACAATCAATATTTCTTACAACCTTGGGCTGCACAATCTTAAATAAAACTAAGAAATGAGTCTCAGGTCTTGGCAAGAATGATTTCTTTTACCTCATAATTTGTTAAAAAAGAAAATATTATGATAACCTTAAATCAGTCTTATTACACTGGTTTAACTGTACAATACTTACTATATAAAACAATATATTTAGTCTGAGGGGTTCTTTAGCCAAGGTTGCCTGTATATCAAACATATTGAGCTCTATGAAGAAATTTCAGGTCCCTGAACACCCCCCTTCCCCCCATAATTTTTTTCACCTATTTTTTCCATATTTTTCTGCATTTTTCCCTAAACATTCAATATCCAGTGTTAATGTGAATGTTGTATAAGTTGCTTTATAGCATTTACAGAGACTGTTTATATGGCAGTTGGCACAGTGTGAGCATAGTTGAAAAGCTGATGATGATTTTACCATCATAGTATCACTATGTGCCAATGCTGGTATTATGGTAATTAAAGGGGGTGGGGAAGGTGGGGGGGAGGCAAACTAAAAAAGCTATGGAAGATGTTGGTTATTTTATTTCTGTCTACATAATAATCCCCTTAATGTGTTTTTGTATAATTTATGCCCTTACTCCCTATACTTGGGTGATGACCTGATGGATCAAAGGGATCAGAATTTTTTTTTTTCAAATCACCCTCCCTGCAGGAGTAACTGCTATATTCTATAAGAAGTCTTCATTTTTAGCTCGACTATTCGAAGAATATGAGAGCTATTGTAGTCGCCCCGGCGTCGGCGTCGGCGTCAGCGTCCGCGTCGGCGTCTGCGTTGGTTAAAGTTTTTTGTAAAGTCAAATATCTCAATTATTACTTGAGATATTCAATTGAAACTTACAATACTTATTTATAGTAACAAGGTACATCAGATTGACAAGTTGGATAACTCTGCCTACAATATTGACAGAATTATGCCCCTTTTTAACTTAGAAATTTTGGTTAAAGTTTTTTGTAAAGTCAAATATCTCAATTATTGCTTGAGATTTTCAATTGAAACTTACAATACTTATTTATAGTAACAAGGTACATCAGATTGACAAGTTGGATAACTCTGCCTACAATATTGACAGAATTATGCCCCTTTTTAACTTAGAAATTTTGGTTAAAGTTTTTTGTAAAGTCAAATATCTCAATTATTGCTTGAGATATTCAATTGAAACTTACAATACTTATTTATAGTAACAAGGTACATTAGATTGACAAGTTGGATAACTCTGCCTACTATATTGACAGAATTATGCCCCTTTGGAGCTTAGAAATTTTGGTTAAAGTTTTTTTGTAAAGTCAAATATCTCAATTATTGCTTGAGATATTCAATTGAAATTTAAAATACTTTTTTATGGTAACACTGTTCATCAGTTTGCAAAATTGCATAACTGTGCCTGCAATATTTGCAGAATTATTTGTATGCTGTTATCTCAATAACTACTGAAGGGTTTGTGCCCTTTTTTGGGACAATTTTATGCATTCATAATAATAAAGCAGTGATTTACTTGATAAAACATCTTAATAACAAGCCTTTGTACCTTTTCTGTCAAATTTATGTATTCATAGGTAATTAGTATTATTATACTCAATAAAACACCCTTGTGACATTACCTTCAGAATAGTCAAGCCAATACTGTATAATTAGACTCTCTCTAAGGCCTATAACATGAATTTTTATAAAAAAAAATTAGCCCTTTTGTGAACTTAAAAAATTTAACATTATCAAGGCTCTTTTACTATCAAGCACTTAGAATAGTCGAGCGTGCTGTCCTACTGACAGCTCTTGTTCTACACATCCTGCTGCAAATTTATGCAGATTTTACATGTAAATCCTTGCCGCTTAGTGGAATTTTTGATCCCTGGTGATTTGTGCTTAAAAAACAACCCTTTACCCTATATGGTACTGTTTAAGAAAGTCTAATTATATTTAAAACAGTATTTATAGCTTCAGTGCAAAAAGTGTACATTATGCATAATGTATTTAAGTGTGATGATCTTTTTTTAGGAGTAACTTATCAGTGCATGTCAATTAAATCACTGTTAGAAGTAATCATTAAGAAGTTCAATGTCAAGCTTAACTACCTTTGTATTTGCTTAATCATAAAGGGAACTAACTGTGTATCAACTTTGTCAGACAAATGAAGATATGACAAGGTATTCTCCCTTTACTAAAAAAATAGTTTTCCTATGAAATCGTCAGTCAGTTGTATCCCTGGCCACTGTCCTTTGAAGTTCCCTGGGATCACAGTGCTGGATGCGTATACATTTGACATGTAAATAATTTTACACAGATGCAATTATCAGGGAGCATCATTTTATATCGTATTGATAAAAAAGGATATGGTTTAGTTTCAAGTGAAACATATTTAACGTAGAAATTATTATTTTTAAAGTATTTCAAGTTATAAACACATATGCAATGGTTGCCATGACAATAAAAAGAGAGCATGCAATTATGAATTGTATAAAGCACAATTAATCTGTAGGACATAGGCTACTAAATTATATAATCATTTTAAGATGGTCGAAATTTTGGAATATTGTTCTAGTTTGTTAATGATATTGCACTTGTTTCATCTTAATTTTTTTTAAATGACTGTTTCATCAATCAAAATTTAAATCTCAGTTTATAAAGAAACATAATTAATCACTGTAGTATGGAAGTTTTTCCAAAAAAGAAATAGAATATAAACCGAAAGACAACTTGATTGAAAAGATCGACCAAAAATCTACTGATTAATTGTGCTGTTCCCCACCCACCCAAATACCGGAATGTCTGTTGAGTGATATTTGCCAGTGCTAGAACAAAGATATGTGTCCGTTTGTCTATGTTATTTAGTGAAGAGCTTTACATGTCACTTGAACTTTTTTTCTGTTTCTTTTCTTTGTTTCTTTTTCTTCTATTCTTTAATTAGTGATAATTTCATGTAAGGAAGTTTTATAGATACTAGGTATGCTGATGATGGTAGATGTTTTATCAATATGTCAAACAGCTTGTTTCCTTGAAAATCAAGACTGTAGTGACACACATTTGAGGTTGTGCTGCCAAGCTTCTATAATATTTAGAAGAAAAATGTCATAATTTCACCTTTTTATAATTATCCAATCAAATCTTGTAATTTTTATTGCAAAACATTCATAAGTGTCCTCTTTTGTGTCAGTGTGCTTAGCTGTTCTCCCATCAAACTGCTCTCTCAGTCTTCCAAGGTTCTTTATTTCAGCAAAAAAAAAAGTTCCTATATTTAGCAGCATTATTTATATATAAAGGGAAGTAATCAATACTTTACTTATATCTTGCAGTAGATCGTAGTTATGCTTCTTGAATGACAATGTATCACAATAGCAGAGATAGTGTAATGTGTTAACACCTGTCATATTTTTGCCCTAATTTGTAAAATAAACATTCTTCTATTCAATTTAAGCTATTTAAATTCTTGAAATTTATCTGTTTTATCACAAACTAGCTGTCTTTTATGAATCCATCTGCGTTAAACTTCCAGCAATTGTTTTAATACTATTTTGAGTATGTTTTTCAAATTACTGTTAATTTTTTCTTTTCTTTTATTCAATCAAGGAAGTATTGTTACAAAAGATTTTTTTAAGTACATAATGAAGTTGAATTGACGGGACTTAAGTAACAATATAATTACATGTATAAGAAGTAATTTCGTTCTGTAGTTATTTATAAAAGGGACTAGCGTGAAACCAGCAAAAGTTATAATTACTAAGGATTTGAATGTTCATTGCTTTTGCAGTAAATAATTTTTTATTTGCATAAATTTTAGGGTAGTTTACGAAGTCGGCGTGGAGTCAACTTGTCAATTGATGATTCTTCGTTTCCGATGGCACTGACCGTGAGCCCGCAGGGTACGCTGCGAGAGGTTGATACTCGCAAACAGAAACAGCCAAGCAAGTTGACGACACTCTTCAGCCCGCTGAATAAGGTAATTTTTCTGTACTTTTTATCTTTCTAATACACATGCAAACATGATATTAAGACTGACTCTGAGAATAAAATTTATTGAAAAAATAGTCACTAAAAATATAGCTGAAATTTAGGCCACTTCTGAACAATAACAATTCATTTTCAAAACAGTCACTAAAGATGTAGCAAATGTGCAGACAAACCTGATTTTAAAACTACTTCTGAATAATAATGACTGAAAGTCAGTTATTACTCATTAAAGGCGTAGAAAATATTTAGGTAAAATTCAGTTGCCGAAAACCAGCTCAGGGTTAAACATAAAACAAAAATTAAGAATTGTACCATGTTTTTAAACTAATCAAAAAGTCACCATTCATTTGAAATGAGAAACTATTTTGTTCTAACTTTGAGGCTTTTTGGTCTGTTTGTAAACTAAATTTATTTAGTTCAAAATATAAATGACCAAAATGGGTCAATTTTATTATCCATATGCATTATGTGATTATTCTATTTAAATAACAAAGTACTATAAGTTGCCAATAAAAACTGAAAAAATAGGAGATATTTAATTGGAGGGTTTGAAAAGCTATTGATGACAGTTTTTGATTAAAATGTTTTCAAATATACAACAATCATTGCATTTAAATCATTGAAAAATAGATCGTTAAATAGTTCAGTGCGAGGTCAGTTACAAAAGTTTGAATGAAAAATTGAAAAATATACTGAAAATTTTAACACAGCCTTTTGGTTTTCATTTGGTGTGTTAAATTTTTTACTGCCCTGGTAAAGATGCTTTATTAGTATATCTTAAAGCTTATCTTACCAAAATGGACCGATCTTAAAATGATATGAAAAGTTTTTCTTTTATGGTGAACGATTTACAATTGGTATACTCGCATTTTATGTTCCTATATTTAAAAGTTTATAGTGAAAAACAGATTTTATGATCTTGAAAGTTTTTGCAATATTCTGTGAAACATGCACTAAAATGGTGATCATAACTTACAATACCTGTTGGTGACATACTGTTCTTATTTTGAGTTGTAGGAAATGATGGTATAGCTAGAATATATTCAGTGGGGGTGGGGGACTAAAAATGCTGAGGAACAGTTTATGCCCCTGCAATGCTGAGGAAATGTTAACAATTGAGTTGTGTTTTATCTTTGCTGTGTTTTTCCCTTTCCTAGCTTTACTCTCTAAAAATAAGAAATTTAATATCCAATTGATGTGGGAGGGGGGGGGGAATGAATTGTAAAATATGATAATTTTTTGCATAGTCAGCCAGTTCATAAATTAGCACACACAAAATTACATATTATTTACTGTCCTTCATAATGATACATAACATGCTTTATTTAAGTATCAAATTTATTGCCCAAATAATTGTTCGTAATCGATAAAAAAAAAATGTTCGTGGAAAAAAACAAAAGCTTTTATGTTTGATATCTTACACACTCACTTATATATAAATCATGTAAAAGATATAATTTGTATATTTTTTTTGTTAAGTAGGTATGTATATTATATATTTATGTATTGACATCTATAGTTGTTCATCATAATAAGTGTCATGTACTTATATTATATATGATATGGGATAGTAGAACATGTGGCCTTGTTTTGCTCGTTAGTAGATTTTATTACGTGTTGCCCTAGCTTGGACGTCCCGAAGGAAATTCCGCTGACATTTAAGCATTATGATATAGAGCGCCATTTGTAATTATGAGCAAAATAAAAACAACCAAACCAAGGCTGGCATTTACTTGACTTTGATATTAATATAGCAGTTAGTCAAAGCTTTCATACTCACATGTGCATTGGCTATGTAATTCGTTGTCCACAGCAACATTTTCGCAACAAGTCATCCCACTGTCTTTGCTGAACCGATTTGAGATATTGCTTTGAAAACCTATAATCTTGTTAATGATTACTCAATTACAGGTATTAAGGGTATTCAAAAGGTGCACCTCACTACTGTGAATTTAATTTAGACCAAAAGACTTTGAATTCTAGTTTAACTCTATCGAGCTTTGTGGTTCTACTAAAGTTCCCACGCCCTCGTGTCTTAAAGTATGCCGGGAGGGCCTTCAACTAGCAGTAAAGCTTGAAAGTCACCATATAACTAACGTTTACAGCGTTATGTTCACAAAAACTGCGTAAAAATTATAGGGTCACCTAAGAATTGACATTTAAGTTTTGGCCGGTAAGAATCTCGGCCCTTTTACATTAATTTAGGCCTCTAAGACTTTGTGTTTAAGTACATGATTGCATGTCCTACAAAAAGACACCTGTCGGACATTTGGAACGAAAACAAGATAAGAATTTTTATTTTTATCAAGCCAAGATTAAAAACCGCATTATAAATAAATGACACCTTTTCATATTGGAAACAAATATTTGCCACTGGATAGGGGAAGATTGCATGGGAAGTACAAATCTTAAAAGAAAACACGTGATTTGATATGTAATGAGTTTCATTGAAATCGTTAAAAAATATTTTTGTTTGCCGGGTCAAAAAATGATGTAAGGTGATAATTGCCTGAAAAATATTTGTTTTAAGAATGTTTTTGGTGAAATTCCTATGTATTTAGTGTTGTTTTCATTTCACTTTGCAAGAGTTGGCTGCAAAACTAACAGAGCTTTATGTGTATGAAAGACCGATTTACAACAGTCTGACACTTTATAAACCATTGGAAATTATGCTTGAAAAGTTGTTTTTCTCTTCTTCAGCTAACAATTGTCATTAAATGCCATTGAATGCTTCCAGGTTTAAATACAATGTTGTTTGAAAACATATTTCTTTCTTATCCCATTTTGGTTAAGATAATATTTGGTTGGAAAAAAAGTAAACTTTTCATGAACATTAAACTAAATATGATATTTGTGTCCATAATTGGTAACGTATTGTGTACATTTCCATCGAGCCTCAAGTTTGAAATTGAGCTTATAATGTAGAATTCTTTTAATTTTGTAAATAATCTAATTATTCCATGCAGTCTAGCCTATGCTAAGAATGACTGTACTAGAAGTCTTTTAATAATGTTGTAAGGAATCAATCAAGGCTATATAGCCTATGCTATAATTATGTAGTATTTTTACTTTGTAAGAAATTAATTCAGGCTAGCCTATTCTAAGAATGAGGAAGTCTAAATTTTACATGGAAAGGAATTGATTCAGGCTAGCCTATGCTTAAGAATGTAGGACACTTAATTTTGTAAGAAAATGATCCAGGCTAGACTATGCTAAAAATTTAGGACTTAATTTTTGTAAGGACTCGATCCAGGCTAGCCTATGCTAAGAATGTAGAAATCTTGTTTGCTAGGAGGTTTATCAAGGCATAAGCTAAAAGGCTACAAAGAGCTGAATAGTTCTTTGTAGGTGAACATACAGCATGAGAGCCTAAAAATTTTATGCGTAATCAAACGAGTAATTGAATAAGCACAAAATTCAACAAATATGTTTCTTTAAAGAAAGCACTTTTGACATTTCGTTATTTCATTATTGCATGCGCAATAGAAGTAAAAGTAATGCAAAAGCGTAACAGAATGGTGTCAAAAGTAAACTGATCTTTACAAACTGCAATGAGGTGAAAAAGGCAACCACCCAGAGGTTTTCGGCTCTAATAATTTGATAAGATCTGGTAGCAAAAATGCCCTGTAATTATCAACAGTTGAATTGACAGAAGGTTTTGTTAATTGATTTCCCTGACTTAGGTGATACAATCGTTTTGATACAATCGTAGGCTTGAAGTGTATTGTTTTACCTTTCTTCAAGGCTGGGGGGTAATAAAGTGTAAACTTCCGTGATAATTGTAGAAAAGCCTTTTTGCAAAAGTGGAAACACAATTTTTACCCTAAGTGTTGTTCTTCAGTATATAATGTGCTGTTAAAAACTTTTTTAAACCTTCAACCTGCTGGTGGTTGGCAACAGATTCTACCAATGCGGACCTGAGGGCAGACCAATACCATCCATGCTGTCTTATCACAGTCTGTACTGTTTACATATTTTGAAAAAGCCTTCTGTGGTATTAAATTCTACCCATAGGGACCAGTGCAGACCAAGATCATCCTTGCTCACAGTCTTATGATGGTCTGCACTGTTTGCTATTCATTCTGTCAGTGTATATTTTGAACAATTCCCTTGAAGTATTATGCATGGATTTGTCCAGATTGAAAAAATGTACAGATTTATATTTAGGATGGTAAGGGTTAAAGAGTTATTGCCCTTTATATCTTACCTAAATACTCTTCTTTAAATTTAATTTATATTTGTGTTTCTTTGAAATAGATTATAATAGGAAGAACTTTTAGAATGGGTGCAGAACTTGTCGTAAATATTTAATCTTCTTCAGTATTTGATATGCCTTAAACGTAAGTCTTATTTCCACCAAGGTCTCATAAATTTTCAAATTTCCGAGGGAAAGCATTACACTTAGCATACTATAGCAACATGTATACATATTTATGACCATTATTTTGAATTATTCAATTTTTATTTATTCGTTCGGAGTTTTTCCAACAAGTGAGTAATGTTTTCTTTCATGAAATTACATCAAATATATATTTTATTCATGTAAACCCTGGTCTAACTCTTGAAATCTTAGGGGGTATCTATTAAATATTGATTTCCTCTTTAGACTGGAACCATTCCTATTGCAGAGAAAATGAATCAGTGTGATTGAGAAGCTTGTCTTTTTCTAGGAGTTATTCATCAGTCTCAGTTGGATGCTTTTTATTGTTACAGCTCAAAGATTTATGATTAATAAAGACATTATTAGGGTACTAACCAATCATAATGATTTGTGTAAGACTAATTTTGACCGATTTTTGCGGCTGCAAAATAGTAGACTCGCAAATTCCTCTAAAAATCTTGATATTCTTATGTAGATACTTATTATGTCGGAAAAACGTCAACTTATACAGTTGGAACTTGCACTACTTACTATATGCAGACTCAAGTTTAATAGTTTTGAAAATGAAAGTTTAGATGGGCCTTTACCAGTACCCTGCTGAATTACTT